GGGGGTCACAGACAAGTTGGGGGCTCTGGAGGTTTTACAGGTTGAACACTAAACTTCTCTGTGCTGAGAAAATATATTCTTTTGGATAAAGATTTTTTCCCGGTCGGGTAGCGGAGCGATCTCTGACCCTCCGGTCCAGTAGAATTGTCTTCTCGCAGCTTGGTGGAATGACGTGACTTGTTTATAGAGAGGGTGCGGAGATCTTAGTACATTCAGGCAATACGGCACTTTTATCAGCCCAGAAAATAATCTGGAACTCCAGACAAAACTGATTTACTGGATTGGGCGGAAGGATATGAATTTCCGTCACTAGGGGAGATTTCCTTGCACTTCCTGTCCCAGTGACCACAGAGAATGATAGAGACAATCTGTCCAATGGGGACACAAACAGCAATAAATATCTGACGGAGTTTCTGAAAAAGGTTTTCCTCTCTCAGCCTGGAGGAGTTTAATGTTCAACCTGTGAAAGCTCCAGATCCCCCCCCTCCCCATCCCCCCCTCCTCCCCCCTCCCCATCCCCCCCTCCCCCCAAACTTCTCTGTGACCTCGGCCAGACTCCATCATTACACGCTAATAGGGATGTTTATAGTGATCTTGGATGAAAACAGACCGTCCATTGTCTCTGCGTACAAGTCATTATATTCTGCTTGTGGATATTATCTCCCTCTCAGAGATCACTCCGGACTGTGCTCAGTCATAATGTAACTCATACTTATACAAGGTAATATCTGGGTTTGCAAAAGCATTACGTGCTCACGGAGTGGGTCTACATCAGCTTTTCATGCCCGGAGTTCAAATTTAAAGACAATTATTCTGACCAGCCTGACCCGCCCCATCCAAAATGAAATGTGAAAGTTGAGGAAAGTGTCCATGGAAGGGCATTGTGAGCAGTCAATTTGCCCCGACTTTTGAAATATGAAGTTGAATGGAAACGTTTTTTGAAGGAGGTGACGTCATAAACATGATCTTCAATGCAAGTTACTGTCTTCAAGAAAGGAAATAGTCACAAAATACTCACCAACTGGATCCACAACGTCTATGTGATCCACGAAGTCCCTCTTCCCCAGATATACAGTGAGCTGAAAGACACAAAACAACCCCAATATTAAAGAGGGGCCAAGGACAGGCCACTCCCATCTGGAAGGTTCCCTCAACGGGTCGTTCCTCTGCATCACTTAAACGGCCATGACTTTGTATGACCACCATGGTCCTCACGATGGTCCTACAGAGCCTGTGTACAACCCAGCAGAGCTCCATGTAAGTAGTCGCCCCACTTAGGGCAAGTTACCCCCAGTACATATCATAAGGTTCAAACTAACCCCCAGTCATTGACTGTGAACCCCAACCCTAAACCCGAGGGGCCTGCTTCAATGGGCTTCTGGTTGCATCCTATGGGCTTGTTCTCTTCCACATAGGTCTATGGGCATTTAAGACCCTCTTAAAGCAAGTCAGATGCAGGTCAGGAAGGAGGTCAAGTGCAGGTCAAACGCACCTGTCAATGAATTCTGAAGGACCTCAGAAGCATCTCATACCGATGTCAACCTGATGCCGTCAACACAAGCCCAAAGCCGGAAAACACTGGCCCTAAAGATAACATTTAACTGGTAATCTGACCTCTAAACGTTACCCCTATAAGGAAACCTAACCTCTAACCCTAAAACTACCCTCTAACCCTAAAGCTAACCTCTAACCCTAAAACTACCCTGTAACCCTAAACCTCACCTCTAACCTTAAACCTAACCACATAACTAACCTCTAACCCTAAACCTAACCCCTACCCATATAACTAAAATCTAACCCTAAAACTACACTCTAACCCTAAACCTCACCTCTAACCTTAAACCTAACCACATAACTAACCTCTAACCCTAAACCTAACCCCTACCCATATAACTAAAATCTAACCCTAAAACTACCCTCCAAACCTAAACCCTAAAAGTAACCCCTAAACCTAATCCTGAACCCTAAAACTAACCCCTAAACCTAACCCTGAACCCTAAAACTACACTCTAACACTAACCTTTAACCCTAAAACTACCCTCTAACTCTAAACCTAACCTCTAACCCTGGACCTAACCTCTAACCCTAAAACTACCCTCTAACTCTAAACCTAACCTCTAACCCTAGACCTAACCTCTAACCCTAAAACTACCTCTAACCCTAAAACTAACCCTTAACCATAAAACTACTATCTAACCCTAAAACTAACCCCTAACCCTAAAACTAACCTTTAACCCTAAAACTAACCTCTAATCCTAAACCAATCCTCTAACCCCTATCTACAAACCTAACCTCTAATCCTAAACCGAACCCCTAAACCAATAATCTAACCCTAAAAATAACACCAGAAACCTAACCTCCAACCCTAAAACTAACCTCTAACCCAAAACCAGTCCTCTAATCCTAAACCGAACCCCTAACCCTAAAGCTAACCTCTAATCCTAATACTAATCATCTAGCCCTAATCTAACGTCTAACCCTAACCTCCAAACCTAATTGCCTGATGTCAAACGTGTTTTGCACTTCTACACAAGTCTTGGGGAACTGAAAGCTCACTTGAAGCAGGTCAGATGCAGATCCGAAGGAGGTCAAACATGCTTGTTAATGCATTCTGAATCATCTCAGAAGCATCTAATACTGATGTCAAATTAATGCAATTGACACCAAGACCCCCAACTCCAAACTTTACCTCCATCAGTAAACCTAACTGTAACCCTATCCATAAACCTGACCTCTAACCATGATAACACCGGCCTCTAACCATAAACCTGACCTCTAATCATAATAACACAGGAACAAATGTATTTTATTAAAAAACAGAATAACAACATGAAAGGTCTTATAGATTGGTAAATAACCGTTGCCCCAGAGGACTCGCAATTTTGCCATGTACACTGCATGACGAGAATAGAGCCGGGATCAGGGACAATGTAATTGTGTACATCAGGGGCTGTCCATTGGCCAAAGAGGAGCATCAGGAGACCTGGAAGTAGCAGTGGTCCATAAACCTGACCTCTAACCATGATAACACCGGCCTCTAACCATAAACCTGACCTCTAACCATGATAACACCGGCCTCTAACCATAAACCTGACCTCTAACCATGATAACACCGGCCTCTAACCATAAACCTGACCTCTAACCATGATAACACCGGCCTCTAACCATAAACCTGACCTCTAACCATGATAACACCGGCCTCTAACCATAAACCTGATTTCCAAACCCAATCACATACCAACAAATGTATTTTATTAAAAAACAGAATAACAACATGAAAGGTGTTATAGATTGGTAAATAACCGTTGCCCCAGAGGACTCGCAATTTTGCCATGTACACTGCATGACGAGAATAGAGCCGGGATCAGGGACAATGTAATTGTGTACATCAGGGGCTGTCCATTGGCCAAAGAGGAGCATCAGGAGACCTGGAAGTAGCAGTGGGTTAGATGAAGGCTGTGTTGGACAGGGCAGCAGCCGGAGCCTGAACCTCTCATTGATGGAGGAGGACACACTAGATGGTACGTGTGCTATAATGTCCAAATAAACCATGTGGACAGGCACGGTACAGTGAGAGCCCACCAAGGTTTAGTTCTGCTTTTAACATTTTCCCTTCCTATTTGACTCCAATGTATTTTGCATATTTTCATAAAATGTCTCAATTTTCACCTCAATTTTGGCAAGAAAATGTCAACTTTGCTCATCCCTACTGGTGATCCCATGAAATTAGTGTTTCCTTTGGTTGCCAAAACTCTTGCACCTTCAATCACTGGTCTGGAGATGGTGTGAACAAGCCCTCAATCACTGGTCTGGAGATGGTGTGAACAAGCCCTCAAGCACTGGTCTGGACATGGTGTGAACAAGCCCTCAAGCACTGATCTGGAGATGGTGTGAACAAGCCCTCAAGCACTGGTCTGGAGATGGTGTGAACAAGCACTCCACCACTGGTTTGGAGTTGGTGTGAACAAGCCCTCAAGAACTGGTCTGGAGATGGTGTGAACAAGCCCTCAAGCACTGGTCTGGACATGGTGTGAACAAGCCCTCAAGCACTGATCTGGAGATGGTGTGAACAAGCCCTCAAGCACTGGTCTGGAGATGGTGTGAACAAGCGCTCCACCACTGGTCTGGAGTTGGTGTGAACAAGCCCTCAAGCACTGGTCTGGAGATGGTGTGAACAAGCGCTCCACCACTGGTCTGGAGTTGGTGTGAACAAGCCCTCAAGCACTGGTCTGGAGATGGTGTGAACAAGCCCTCAAACACTGGTCTGGAGATGGTGTGAGCAAGCCCTCAAGCACTGGTCTGGGGATGGTGTGAACAAGCCCTCAAGCACTGGTCTGGAGATGGTGTGAACAAGCCCTCATACACTGGCAGATGAGGATTGGGCGCGGTAATAGAAAGATATGTTGGATTGGTGGCTCTGAGTGGAGATCCATCACCAGACATAGATCAGAGCAGGACCAGCAGTCAGCACATACTGGGCATTATATGGCTACCGGCTCCCTGTCCAGACCTTTAACTGTAGCCTCCGGCAGAGGACAGTCATCCAACGCCATCATCCTTTGCAGGTCTGAGATGTCATATGGTGGAAAACTGAGAGCTGTAGAAGAAGTTGATGTGAAAAGAAGCTTAAGATGTGAAAAGCTGTAGAACAATAAACCACGTCCTTTAAGAACATCGACCTTTCACCTTGCCCACCAGTAATAGCAATAAACCACGTTCTTTAGGAACACCTACCTTTCACCCAGCCCACCAGCAAAAGGCGTATCACAATAAATTGCGACCTGTAGGAACATCGACCTTTCTCAAAGCCCACCAACAAAAAGCCGTATCACAAGAAAACGCGTCCTTGAGGAACACCTACCTTTCAATGCCCACCAACAAAAAATCTGAATCAGAATAAAACACGTCCTGCAGGAACATTGACCTTTCACCATGCCCACCAATGAAAAGCCGTATCACAAGAAAACATGTCCTTCAGGAACATCTACCTTTCCATGCCCACCAAAAAGTCATATTACAATAAAGTTAAACCATGTTCTCTAGAAACACCTACCTTTCCATCCCCACCAATATAAAGTCATATTACAATAAACCTCGTCCTGTAGGGACACCTATCTTTCCATCCCCACCAACGAAAAGCTGTATCACAATAAACCATGATCTTCAGGAACATCTACTTTTCACCATGCCCACCAACAAAAATCGTATCACAATAAACCACGTTCTTTATGAACACCTGCCATTCACCATGACCACCAATGAAAAGCCGTATCACAAATAAACCTTGTCCTGTAGGAACATCTACCTTTCCATGACTACCAATGAAAAGCCGTATCACAAATAAACCTTGTCCTGTAGGAACATCTACCTTTCCATGACTACCAATGAAAAGCCGTATCACAAATAAACCTTGTCCTGTAGGAGCATCTACCTTTCCATGACTACCAATGAAAAGCCGTATCACAAATAAACCTTGTCCTGTAGGAACATCTACCTTTCCATGCCCACCAATGAAAAGCCGTATCACAAATAAACCTTGTCCTGTAGGAACATCTACCTTTCCATGCCCACCAATGAAAAGCCGTATCACAAATGAACCTTGTCCTGTAGGAACATCTACCATTCACCATGCCCACCAATCACTCTACCGCCATGGCACACATTGTGCAATAGGCATGGAAGAATTCTGCCCCATTAAAAGGGGCTTGTTGGTTGTGTTTTGCCCCCTCCCCATGCTCTCCTGGGCTCCGATGAAGTCAATCTGCCCCTGTCCTCACCTTAAAGTGGACCCTTCCACCGGGGCCTTCGGCTATGCTAGAACTTGAAGTCCTCCCATGAAGTATCTGGCCTTTTGAGGAATCTGCGTTGAGCGACTCATCCTAATCACGTTGTCAGGGCTGAGCTGTGACGACGAGGGACGGCTCTTCTATCTGAAGCCATCTGTATCCAGTCCATTGATTTTTTTAGGTCCCATGGAAGCATTTGGCCTAATGAGTTCAGCGGAAGGACTAGAAATTAGAGAGCGCTTGTTACCGTCATCGATCGGTTC